AGGATTCACTTCAATTATCACAGAGCCCATGCAAAATCAGCCCCAAGTCTACCTCTATCAAAGCATCTCAATCTTCCCGACCATGGATTTGACAAACTATCAGTAACGCTCTTAGAGACGGTATTTAAATAAAATCGAGAACGTGAACAACGAGAGGCATACCTTATCCACTGATTTAACACCCTCGATAGAGGAATAAATGAGAATTCTGGTACACTTGCAGCAATTAAAGCATTAGAAAACAATAACGGCAACAATGAAAATAGTAACTGAGTTCACGGCACTGCAGCTGAGAAGGGCACTGGACAACCCAAAACAATTCCAAGTGTAACTACTCTTCCTAAGTGCAGCTGTCGTCTGTTTTTTGTTTTATTTTACTACCCAATCAATTTTGCCATGCATGACATGCCCAACAGCAACCCTGTGCACAGCCGGGAGGCCCCCACTACACGCGTAATCCAGAAGCGGGCAAGGAATTCTCATTGCGCCCGCTTACCAGCCTCTACCGCAATACGGGGCACTCCTCTTTTTACGACGAAATGTTGACAGGACGCCGAGTAGTTAAAGGCTTAGAACTTCCTAAAATTCCCGCTTACCAGGCTCTGCCACAATACGCGGCACCCCTCCTTCTTCGACAGATTTTTTACGGGACTCCGAGTAGTTGAAGGCTTAGAACTTCCTAAAAAAGCTCTTTTTTGCCCCACACCGAACCGCCAGTGCCAGGAAGCGCCGTCTGGCCGGGAGGAATGCGTTAGTTAAAGGAAACATACACAGACCGCTGACATCAGAAAGGTGAAAGGGAGAAGGGGGAGAGAAATGAAGGGGGAAGTGGAGGGAAGAGTGGAAGGGGGGCACCCGAGGGGAGCCCACCATATATTATTTTTCTCTTCTTCTTTCTTTTCTTCTTTTTCTTTCCTTTTTCTTTTTTTCTTCTTTTTCTTTTTTTTCTTTTCTGTCTTTTTTCCTCTTTCCTTGCCCTCTGATTTGAGATTGCATAAAGCTGAGCACCAACAAACTGTATCTTTAATTCTGATGAAGGCCAGACTCTAGGCCGAAACGTCGAAATAAACCACGTTGTGACCGCTCACGGAGGATCTACTGGACTATATGCAACGCTACGGCCACTCAACCACCATGCCTGCATATATATATATATATATATATATATATATATATATATATATATATATATATATATATATATATATATATATATATATATATATATATATATATATAAATATTTATATATATATATATATATATATATATATATATATATATATATATATGTGTGTGTGTGTGTGTGTGTAACGTAAGAAGGTAGCGATGGTTAGGTAGAGACAGAGAAGGTAGAAGATCAGACTAGAATAAACATTGGGTATGAGCCAGGCCACGTCTCGCAATCATCATAGCGTCACATATATTTATTGACGATTCGACGAGATCGGTATCTATCAAACTTGACTCCTCTATCTATGAAAGGCCCGTTTCTTGACGGGAACAACCAAATACATATTGTAATCTTTACTACAGTAGAACGCTTAAGTATCTCCTAATCCGCCCAAGATAACGAATTCTCGTACAAGTTAGAGATAATTTTCGCGCCTAATCATCCTCATGAGTAGCCTGCACACGCCTACTGTAGGGCAAAGACGTCTTCCTTCATCCAACAAACAACCCAATCTTGTACTCTCTGTTCTTACGTTACACTCGCGAACTTTGAAATCTTATCAGCCTATACCTAACTTTCTGTCTGCCCCTCGCGTGTATCCCCCCTTTCAATCCTCGAGATTTCGACGTCACGGGTAACTACCACCAAAATGCCGGTGTTTTATACCTGCCTCTTGCGGGTTGGTAGTGGATTACGATTCATGATTTGAGAAGGCTTGCCGAATGCTATCCTCTCCATCATTTATGTTTCTAGTTATTTCATTCTCATGACTCGTCTCTGTGGTTACTACCTCTCCCAAGTAGACAAATTCCTTTACAAATTCTAGCGTCTCGCCACCTATCGCAAATTGCTGTTTTCTGCCGAGACTTTTGCACATTACTTCAAATTTGTACACAATAATTTTCAGACCTACACTTCTACTTTCGCGTCCAGTTCAGTAATGCGCTGTAATTCGTGCTCTGAGTTACTCATCAAGGCAATGTCGTCAGCAAATAACAGGTTCCTTACATACTCTTCAATACCTCTTATTCATAACTCTTCACAATCTAGGGCTCCGAAAACCTCCTTAAACACGCGGTAAATAGCATTGGAGAGAGCGTGTCTCTGTGCCTTACGCCCTAATTGTTTGGGATTCAGTCGCTTTCGTCATGGCGAACTATGGTGGCCGCGGATCCGCAGTGAATTTCTTCCAGTGAGTTGATGTAGGCTCGTCGATGCAAGGAATCCGTAGTGCCGTGTATTGCTGCTGGTGTCAGAACAGCGTCAAACGCCGTCTCGTAATCTATGAAGGCTATGTATAGGGGTTCGTTGTATGCGACATATTTCTCTATTACCTGATTGATAGTATGAAGAGCCTGTACGAAATCATGCTTGGCCCTTTGGATGGTTGAAGTGTAATGTCGTCCCAGTCCTATTAGCGATTACTTCTACGAATAATTTACAAAGAAACAGTAAGCTGATCGTCCTGTAATTTTTCAAGTCACCTTGACGTCTTGTTTCCAATGGATCAAGAATATGTGGGCGTTATTACTAAATTCTAGTACCTTTTCCTTCAAGAGACACTTCGATTATAATGTTCATGAACAGTTTTGATTGGTTTGATTTGTGGGGTTTAACGTCCCAAAACCACCATATGATTGTGAGAGACGCCGTAGTGGAGGGCTCCGGAAATTTTGACCCCCTGGGGTTCATTAACGTGCACCCAAATCTGAGCACACGGGCCTACCATGAACAGTTTTTCTAACAATTTCTCCGTCATCTTTCAACAGGTGTATTGTTACCTTATCTCAGCTGTTTTACATTTTTGGCATTCCTTTGAGAGATTTCATTACTCCCTGGTCGTTACTGGTAGGATGTCAAACTATCTGGGCTATTATTGCTTCTTACCATACCATCCTGGTTGTATCGGCTTCTGTAAAGCTCTCTGCAGAACTTCCCCGCCACCTCGACTATCCTATTCCTATTGTTTACGACATTGTCTTCCTTGTTCCTTAACGCATACAGCCAATGTTCGCCTATGCACAGGTTTGTTTTGGACCTTTAAGGCTTTTGCCGCTTTTTACGGCCTAATCGATTCTATCTATGTTATACTTTATGATATCGGCTACCTTGCGCCTATTATTGATTAACTTCGAAAACTCCACTAGCTCTATTTTTTCGATTGCATTTGAGGCTTTTATGGTTTGTTGTGTCTTAATGACATTTTTTACTTCCTGGGTTAGTTTGCCAGTGTCTTGTCTACTGATGGTGCCTCGGAGTTCCACTGCACTCTGTGATAATATCAGTAAGGTTATAGTTCATGGTGTCAATTATAACAACCGATACCTCGTTTATAGCCGTGAATCTATTCTGAAGTGAACTCTGAGCTCCCGTGCTTTTCCTTCCGTCGCAAGCTAAAAATCGTATTGCGTATCGATTCAAGCCTTTGCTTTTTTAAATCTAAGTCGATTCGAGCTCCTATCAATCTCTGGTCACAGTATCGGATCTTGCCAACTACCTCTACATCTTGTACAATACCTTGGTGTGCACACAGAAAGAAGTGTATTTTGATTTTAGTTCCATGAGGACTCCGCCAGGTCCACTTTCAGTTATCTCGTTTTCTCTAGAAAGTATTCAAGTTCCGCAAATTATTACGTTCTGCGAAATCTACTAATGACTTCCTTCTGGCAATTCTGGAGCCAATGGCATAGTCTTCGCCCGCATGGTCTCCATCATATTTCTTGCCTACCTTTGCATTTTTGTCACCCATCAGTACAGTTTCCTGTGTCTTTACTTCATGATCTGGTGACTCTATGTTTTCTTACAAGCGTTCAACCAAATGATCATCACGACTCGATTTAGGCGTGGAGATTTAGGCGTGCATATGATTAAAAATGATGTACCAGCTAATTCACAAAGACATAAAGATTGACAGTTACAAATACTCATCTTTAACCCAAACACGCCAAACGCGGCACAAACACGCCTTATCAATACATGAGCATGTCATTCATACGGAAAGTCATAAATATTCATTTCTTCTTTTAATTACACGTGAATGGAACATGCTGTATCCTAGCGTAACAAGTGCGACGTTATCATCCTTTTTAACATTGCTTGGAGATCAGCTACATGCTGCCCAGTTATGAGCCTCCTGTATCATCCTTACTTCTGTATAACTTTTTTTACATCAGTGCGTTTTTTGCTCCTATTTTCCCTTTGTATGCCTTTTTGTTCACTTTTTTTTGCTGTTACACTGTACGCATAATTTCGTTGATTCTACATACTGTTACTTCGTCTATTTTCACCATTTTTACATAAACGTATGTTTACTTCAGTTTTGCCATTATACACCTCTTTGATCACCCCTTTTTTACGTATTAGGATGTACTATTATTATGATGTACTATTACGTCTTCTCGTCTGCCTTTGTTAACCGCCAATATTTTTATGCATAGTTGAATATTTGATATTTGTATTGTCATATTGTAACAATTCAATATGCCCTTCCTGTAAAGATCCCTGATGGGATCGACAGTATGAATGAATGAATAAATGAATGAATGAACAAATAAATAAATAAAGAAATAAGTAAATAAATAAATAAATAAATAAATGAATTAATAAATAAATAAATAAAGATGCACCATTTTCATCTTGCACCTTAACACAAGCATTCTTTTCTAACTCTCTAGTCGTGCTGCCGTACAGCTAAGGTGATCTCTCGCGACAAAGCTCAAACAAGCACCCTGAGTCATACTGGCATGTGCCATACAGAATAAAGCTACACCAGAACTTCTTATGCTCTGGTGGCATTGAAAACCAAAGTTTTCGATTTCCACTGCAGTGTGGCTGGGTGTCAAGACACCGTGACAGCAGCTACGATGGCAGTGGAGACGGTGGGAGACATCGAGAAGCTTGCTGAGGGCAAGATGGAGGAGAGTGCTAGGCTCTACATTGCTCTTGGCGCCGGTCGAGAGCAGACCCTCAGAGAGAACACGCTGGCTTTCCAAAGGTTTGAACTTGCCTTTGTCAAAACGTGCCATTATGCTAGAAATTTGAGACAGCGAATCCGTATAAAACTAGACAAAGATGCCTTCGCCTATGAACCTTGCCTCGCATGCATTAACGTTTCCATACAGTCTTTCTTTCGCCGAACCGCAATGCGGGTAACGCATTACTACTCGAAGTATGGTTAGAATATGCTAATTCTGAATTGGATATCTATGTATTTTTTGTAATTACCACACGAAAGAATGTATTGTAACTTGATCGCACTGAATACACTTCCCTAGTTTTGCCTTTTAGAATAATACTGTAACTTAACTATATTAACTTGGACTTGGACAGCCTTGTGCTGCTTTTTCTTTCCAGCCGGGCGTCGCCTCCTGCTCTCCTTTGTTTAGTTTATTAATTTTTGTATACAGCACGCTCCGCTAAATAAAACTATACGAGAGAGTATAACGAAAGCTAATGAACAAAATACGTTTAATCAAAAATATGCGCCACATAAGCATTGTCAAGCAATAGAACACACTATAACAACAAAGCTCAATGCATCGCTATTTGATGCCTGGAAACAAAGCTTTCCTGTGGTAGCCCACATTACTCGGTAACCATACTCTTATTGTGACGGGTCCCACGGTTTCGATACTAACTGAACAGATGGTAGACGCTGCGATGCCATTTAAGTAAGGCGATCAAAGTTATACGAGGACATTTCGTTTATAGTCAGAGACAACGTTAAAACCCAGAGCACTGCCTTATCGTAGGCTGGTGTACACAAGCCTGTCTCAATGTCTTTTCACTTCATATTGTCATCATATGCTGGGCTACCATAGGTGACAGCGAATTTGTCCAGAATTAAAGAGCGTATGAGCACGATCATTTGTTTAGCCAAGGAAGCTATTTGTGGCCATATTTTGATTACCTGGAGTATTTGCCTGACCAGAATCTTTAGGTTGTATTTGATAAGCTGCCTCCGACGTAGCGTATTCAGCGCGGAGCTCATTGTGGAAGTACAGCCTTGGGTCCACTGAACTAAATCTCTATATTTTTAGTTGGGCGTGCACCGAAGCTCTTCAAACTCAGCCTTCCAGCCACTTCCAATGGCAATCTGCGTCGGCGAAGCTGTAGCAGAGGCTCAACTAAATCTGTCCATTTTCTAGTACAGCCGTGTGAAGCATACAGGCATGAAATCGCAAAGCAACCACCATAGTTGTACGTACAGTGAGCAGGAGGAGTCAAAATTGTGCTCAAGACAGTTAATGCGCGTTTCAAAGCTGTAGTGTTGGCCTCAAGAATTAAGGCAAAACTTCTTTAGCGTCACCTGATCTGGAGTTCTATCTTTCACCACTGGTGCACCAGAGTTCGTTTCGTCAATCTGGTCACACTATATTCTCCACACTTACTCGTCATTCTGCACTGCATGCATATCCAGAATACTTCTCAGACCACGGATCTTTGTGGATGTGGAGAGAATCAACACCTCAACCACCCTGTTGGGACAAGCGGTATCCTTCCCAGTAGGTCTGGCTCCATCGGCGGTTCACAAAATCGCTCACCCAGAAGGAGAGATCAGCACTGCGAAAGGCAAGGCCCTTAACCCTGTCTGGTGTACCTCACTAGTCATTGAAATATCGGTGAAGATTCTCGTTTAACTCGTTTAAGTGTTGCTGTTCGACGTTTAACAGTGCTGAACGAAGCACCAGTGCGATGCATTGTCAACGTTCTTTGCTCATTTCCTATAGTAAATATCTTTGCAACTTTAGACATTTCGTTTTTATTTGTTTAACAATTATGGTTTATTGTCCAGCCTAAAGCTTCCAATCCGAAGTACAATTAATCTACAGCGTTTTCTCTAGCAATGTGAATCTAAAACAGAACAGCGCTTTCTCTAGCATATGTGAATTTAAACACTAACCGTAAGTACTACGACGAGTAAAAATCAAAAAGGCTGGGAAGGGTGTTTCAGCTGCCCTAATGATGTCGGCTATGGCTGTTGCCTCCTTCATTTTTAGGGTACCGGTGATAAGCAGTCAGGTTTAAGACATTCTCGTGCAGCATACCCGTTTTTGTGTTGAACCATGACTACACATCACAACATGAGGACACGAGAAGCCGAGAAGCCGAACCCTTAAGGCACTTCGCAACTAAAATACCAAAGTAGTTTGGAGCAGGGACACCTGACCATGGCTAAAGAGTCTGTGCCGTCTTCGCGTCTTTATTGAGACGCCATTGAAACGAAGCGCTAGGGGCTGGCTTGTCCAAGCAGACCATGAGCGTGAGCATTCTAAAAGCACCTCATGGCTCGAACATCACGAGCCCGCTATACTCTCTTTTCAGCGGCAAGGCAGCTGGCCAAGACCAGTGCAGCGCTACAGGAGAGGCGCCTAGCCGTGCTGCAACTAGCACCTTGTAGGGGCGAAGCTCCATATGACGTGCATTCTGCGTCTTCGTTGTGTGAAACCGCCCCTTTCATTCTTGAACGGGCCATAGAGGGCTGTGCTTGTACTATATGCTCAAATATGCAAATGGTACGACACTTGAGGGCGTGCGTAACTGTAGAAAAGGGAGGGTTGACGTCAAAAGTACGCAAGAAGAGAGAGACGATCACGCGACTACTATCGCCTGTTCTTCGGCGGCACCGTACGCCAGGGGGTGCTTTCTAGTACAATATGAACGACGTTTTGGCGCGCGCGTGCATTCAGAGGCTGGGTGGCATAGGATGGACAAGGGCGCTGAGCGGTGTGCGCGGAATGCTGTGGCGGCTCGCGGTCGAAGAAGGGACCTTGACGTGTGGGCGCGCAAGGCAGAAGTGCGCCGTGAAGCTTTGCAGTACGACAACGGGAGGCAGAGACGGCGCGGCAGCGGCATAGGAACGCAGCTTCACCCCACTCTCCATCATTCACCCTGTTCCTATCTCTCTTTTGTCGTCCCTCGCTGTCCCTGCGCATCTGTCTCTCTCTCCCTCTCTATATATATACCTTTATTCCTATCCTTCAATCCCCCCTTACTCCCATCCCTTGTGAGCTACTGTTGAGGTGTCGCACCAGATGCAGACAGTTACGGGGCTCACTTTTATCTTCTTTTCCCTTTTATAACCACAACCCCGCAAAGTTGCTGTCGTTTTCTTTCTTTCTTTCTCTGAACCACTGCTACTTCTACTTCTATAGGAGTATTAATATTACTAATACAATTGCAGTAATTACTTCAATATTCTTTGTAAACAGTGCAAAGTAAAGATGAAAGCAAAATATAAGCATTTCGTTTATTGAATAAATTATTCATTGAATTAGTTTTGTTTTTTTCTGATTTGCTGCTTTGTCTTGTAAGCTAGACTAAGTGGCCGTATATTTAAATGTTTTGAAGTACGTGCCTTAAGTATTCACCCTTAGGCTACAGGCGCTCTTCTCTGTCGTATTGACGCCCAGGAATACTGTAGTTTGGGTGCCATGTGATTAACTGACCATGTTTATGATCGTGGCTGTTTCAATAGCACTGTAGGGTTCTGTCTTTTATTATATTCGCGATAAACACGAAATATATAAATGGCGAGCTGTATGATTAAAAATGGCGGTCAGAGGAGGGCCAAACCGTTTGTTAGCGGAGTCGGGCAGTGCCAAATAATACATGTAACTTATATATTATATTCAACACAAAAGCGGATGCACCTCCTGCCGACGCTTCCGCAACTGAAGATGTGCCGACGATGACGACACCAGCTGGTTCCGCAAAGATTTCATTAGACATTCCAGTGCTGCTCGACGGTCGCAAAGTGAGTGCTTTAGTTCGCATGGGTGCGGAATTTTCTATAATAAGTGAGAAACAGGCTGCTCTCCTGAAGAAAGTGACGATGCCTTGGAACCTCAGGCCAGTTCATACTACTGGCGGGCACATCGTCACGCCACTTGGCGTTTGCACAGCACGAATACAGGTTCGCTGTCCTACCTTTGTTGTCAGGTTGAGCGTTCTCCGTCAGTGTTCTCGAGACCTGATTATTGGCATGGAATTCCTGGGGGAGCACGATGCTATTATCGACATTGGACAAGGCCTTGTCACGTTCTCAACAAAAAGCACCACACCAGAGCGTAATCTCAGCCATGATCGAGTATGTCTGCGCGTAGTTGACGATGCTGTGACGATACCACCGCGCTCAAGTGTTATGGTTCAAGTGGCGTGTAACAAAACAGCACATGGTGAAACAGCACATGGTGGCAGAGAGCAATCGATCCCTACTCTTTTCCCAAGGTGTCTGCACGAATCCTAGTAGAACTCCAGGCTGGCCACTGCGAGGCTCTGGTTACAAAGTTCAGCTACGAAAGCCGACACATTTTCCCTGGTACTGTCATCGCCTATGCTTTACCAGTAACCAATGTGACTGAGTGTTTTGATTTCGAGGCAACCGATAATGCCAAAGCACCTCTCCGGGGTGTCGATATAAATCCAACGCTTTCTGAAGAAAACAAACGAAGGCTTAAATACCTGTTGATAGAATTTCACGCCTGTTTTGCACGTTTATCGAGAATCCGTCAGACATAGATTACCGAACGCCGTAATATCTCCTACGGCGACGCGCACCCTATACGACAACAGCCTTACCGCGTTTCACCAACGGAATGACGCTTGATTCAAAAGCAAGTGAAGGAAATACTTAAATACGGTGTAATACAGCCATCAAGCAGCCGATGGTGGTCGCCAGTGGTCCTTGTGAAGAAAAACGATGGTACACTTCGCTTTTGTGCCGTTTATACGAAGCTGAATAACGTCACAAAGAAAAACGTGTACCCATTGCCTCAAGTGGACGATTCTCTTGAAAGGCTAAGGCGAGCAAAGTACTTTTCCTCAATCGGCCTCAAAAGTGGTTATTGGCAAATTGAAGTCGATGAAAGTGACCGCGAAAAACCGGCTTTTGTAACTCCTGATGGTGTGTATGAATTCCGAGTGCTCCCATTCGGCCTCTGTTCCGCTCCGGCCACATTTCAACAAATTATGGATACTGTTCTCGCTGACCTCAAAAAGAAAAGTTGTCTCGTCTATCTAGATGATGTCGTTGTCTTTTCAAAAACGTTTGACGAGCACCTTTGTAGTCTTCAGGGTGTTCTTGAAGCTATACGATCCGCTAACCTTACCCTCAAGCCTGAGAAGTGTCATTTCGGCTACGAAGAACTGAAGTTCCTGGGTCACGTTGTGAGCGCTGCAGGCGTTTGGCCCGATCCAGAGAAGACTTTCGCTGTGGCCGCTTTTCTAGCTCCGACAGACAAGAAAAGTCTTCAAAGAATTCTGGGGCTCTGCGCATACTATCGCCGCTTTATTGAAAACTTCTCTTATATTGCGGAGCAGCTCATCAGACTTACGCGAGACGACACCCCATTTCTGTGGACTGACGAACAAGCGACTGCCTTTGCAGAACTCCAACATCGATTGTCTCCCCCTCTTGTAGTTGGTCATTTCGATGAGGACGCTGGCACAGAGGTGCGCACTGACGCAAGCAACATTGGTCGCGGTGCTATCTTGGTGCAAACACAAGATTGCCTACGCGAGCCGCACTCTATCACGTGCCGAAACTAACTATTCAACGTCAGAGAAGGAATATGTCGTGGTAGTATGGGCGATTACAATGTTCAGGCCTTGTCTCTACGGGCGCCCATTTGATGTTGTGACTGATCACCACGCTTTGTGTTGGCTGGCTAACCACCGAGACCTCTCTGGGTGCTTATCACAATGGAGTCTCCGACTTCAGGAGTTCGATGTCACCATCGTATACAAGTCAGGTGGAATGCATGAAGGCGCCGACACGCTATCACGAGCACCTCTGGAATCTGATCAAAGAGCTGTAGAAGACGACAATGCCTTCGTGGGGACTCTCAGTGGGGCGGACCTCTTCAGTAAGCAACGAGAGGACCCTGATTTAAGGCCCATCATCGATCATTTAGAAGGCAGCACCGCGTCTGTTCCTCGTCCACTTTCCTGTACGTTGCCATCATTTTGCTTACAACACGGCACAATATACAAGAAAAACACCGATGTCAGCAGCAGATCTTCTGGTCGTTCCTTAAGACCTTCGTGATGACATCCTATTAGCCTGGCACGATGAGCTGCATCCGGCCATTTGGGAAGCTCACGGATGCTCGACCGGGTACGACAGCTATATTTCTGGCCAAAAATCGCAGCTTGTGTCAAACGCTACTTGAAAGGATGCCGCGAATGCAAGCGTCACAAGTCATCACCTGTAAAGTCTGCAGGCATCCTACGACCCATCGACACACCGCGTACGCCATTTTACTAAGTTGGGATGGACCTCCTTGAACCGTTTCCTTTGTCTCACTCTGGAAACAACGGGATCATTGCCGTAACTGATTACTTGACGCGTTACGCTGAGACGAAGCCATTGCCACGCGGCACAGCATCTGATATCGCCCAGTTTTCCATGCACCACATTGTACTTCATCGCGGCGCCCCATCATTCATCATCACTGACCGAGGGACAACGTTTACGGCAAAACTGTTGGACGACATCTTCAAGCCTAGTTACAAAAACCACCGTGAGACAACCACATACCACCCCTAAAAATAACGTCTTGACAGAAAGT